ACTTGCATCTGTTTCTCGCAAACTGCATTCACCAAGCGGGGAACAAACGAAATGGCTTATGAATGGATTATCGCTATTTTTGAGGTGCCATGTTATAATGCGTGGAAACATCTTATCAAAAATGGTGTTCAAAATGATCTATCATCAAATAAATTAAACGGATGCACTACCATTTTTCAGCATTTCGTTCATCAACAAAAACCGATAGTCAACAAGTTAATCACGGGAATTAATTTGGCCGCATATGGAGGAAAGGTGAAACGCATTATGCATGTTTTGTTTCAGTTGTGCTTGTAAGAGGCATATTTGACTCACTGTTTCCCACTAGTGCAGCAAATCCATTGGCAGTGGGCTGGGTTATTTCGTAGCGTAAGAACAAGCGATTTGAGGTATACGTGAAAACTTCGGGAATCACTCCTGCGCAATACTTTTTCGAAGACAGCAACGTGTCCTCATCCACGGAGAATTGAACGTAGTTGTTGTCGCAATCCATGCGATCGGTGGTCAATTTCTGTCAGAAAAACATTGAATAGGGAATGAGACATGATTAGCAGAACAGCTTGGACTGTTTGAACTCTTGCGCAATTGAACCTTTTGATGCAAGATGTCAGCGTTGCGTGGTTGTTTCATCTGAATGTGAAATGTGGAATGTGAAAAATCGAAATCCATACGTATTAGGATCTCTCTAATGAATGAGATTTTGTGTTGAGGGTAGACGAAATCAAAATGCAAACAACAAAATGGAAAGAGTAGAAACGCTTCATTGATGTGGAGAAAGAAATGAATGTTTGGAGAAATGGTCGATGGTCAATACAAATTTTCGCATTTCATCCATGTGTTCAGGTCAGAAAAGCGTTAGCCGAAATGGAGAAGTTCCATTTGTCAAGAACAACACGCACTGCGACTCAAAGATTGCACAATTTTGTGTTGTACCTAGCCCGTATGTGAGGATTGCTCTATCCCGCATTGGTTTCGCCGATACCTAAATTAGACCGTCATGGCAGATAACACCGGAATTATTCCGTAACAAGGAACCCGGTAGAGCATTTAACCAAAGGAGATTTAAAAAATGCATTTGAAACAAAGTGAGGTAATCGGATTTGGAAGAGTTTCTCACTCACCGTGAGATCGGTGAATGCAAGTTTCCACGTCTTAGCCGGTTGCGTTGTCACGGTGATCAGACAAGTTTTCCAGTGTCCAGATGGTGTCATTGCAATAGGCGATATGACTAACGGTTGATCGCCATCGACTTGCATCTGTTTCTCGCAAACTGCATTCACCAAGCGGGGAACAAACGAAATGGCTTATCAATAGATTATCGGTATTGTTCACACTTGGCGAGCGAAATGCAGCCTTATGTTTTGTATATTGAACACTTCATACACACAGTAAGAAATGTAAATTAAATTAGAGCCAGTCAACGGAGAACTCCATACGCATATTGTTTCGTTTACATAAATAATGTTTGCAACTGCGTATTGATGAACGGTCTCCCAGGAGTTTGTCAGACGGTGTGCTGTGATGGCTCGCGTCTCTTCGCGACCGTTCGAACGGTACATCTGTGCTTTCGGCAACCGCGGATAACATAGCGCGTAATGAGTGGATTATGAGAAAGCAGCCTACCGAACACTTGTTCACTGAATTGATCTACCCAATCAGATCACTGTGGAGGGAAGTCATCGGGGCTAGTACACACGGCGAAGAGGCTTTTCGGTCAGCTTTCACGCTGGCCCGATTAACACCGGGCATCTCGGGTGTCATAACGACAGAAATTCATTGCAATAACTGTCCCCCTTTGAACTGGGTATTTACCAGCCACCAATTTGCTGCCTTGTTTGCGCCAATCCACACGTCCATTTCGATCGATGCAGAAGCGAAAAATACACGAAGCCGGAAGCCGCAATACCAGTCTGAGAGAAGTCTAGAAGGCGCTACATGGGTGCTTCTGTGAGACCCTGTGATGCCCTCATTAACCATGATCCGACGTTTCAATATTAGGCTCAGTCAGCTTGAACAAATGAAAACCCGTTCATCAGCGTACGCCATACGGGAGGCGTGCCGTGCGTTCAAATTCCCGGACCCATTTCTCATCCGTCTACTTCCTTCTCTATTTCTCATGTCATTTCTCGTTTCTTCCCTTTGTACCGCTCGGTGAATACAGATCGCGTTTATCTACAATAATCCATCCATCAATGCAAAGCTGCAGCGTCTGTGAAACCGAAACTGAAACCGAAACCTCTATCTCCATTAGGCGCATTCAGTGTGCACATATTCTCTCCGATTGCATACTCGTCTCCCGAAGTGACCTGCCTTGAGACAATCAACTAAAGTTTTGATTTGTCTGGAATTTTACCTCGATTCCAATCAATCTGCACTCACATTTTTCGGTATCTGTTTTGAGTGCTACACTTCCCACAGGTCTTTCTACATCGTCCGTCCCTCTTCGGTTCGAGGAGGTAAGTTATTTTTCCTGTTCACTCTCTTTGTCTGAAAATGAAGCAAGCGAATGGTATGAGGTATGAGGCGAAAGAATGCTGACATGCACGTGGCACATGTTTATCTGTTTTTTATTCAATGGTAATTGGCCTTATGAACATGTATTTCAGCCTCTTTGAACACGGACTAATTTGATGGACTTGCTCGGTTGATTGTCATATCCTAGTCCAATTGAATCGGCATTAGGGAAACAATAGCAAGTTCTCGAATCAGCCACGGTGTCCGCTTGATTTCCCTGATACGAATGTTCCATGCATTGTCATTCTGTATCGGTTTATGTATATCCCGTTAAACAAAGTAACGACAGCTTACTAACGGGCAGAGTATATGCGAGTCTGGATCATGATGTAGAACTGTAGGGGACGGAAGCAAGTCATCATACATATCTGGTGTCTAATAGATAAACCACGGGATGTGTGTGAGAGTGATATATATTCATTCATGATTTCAAGCACACCATTATGAGGCAGATGAAACGATTGTGAAACGCATGATACCAAAACGTGTGAATCGATTTTCTAGTCGAAGTCTCGTCACACAGATTTCACCAAGAATGGGTCGTAAACGCAAAGCGCACTGAGCGGTATCTATGAACATTTCAAGCCAAAATATTCAACTATGAACATTTCAAGCCAAAATATTCAACATGAGAAATCCGCGTTCAAGAAAATGTAGCAGGAAAGATGGTGTCATACACGGTGTTGAAGCGAAGCAGCAAGTCCATTTACGATCCACGTGGTCATATTGTAGCGTGGGAATAAGCAATTCGAGGTAGATGTGAAAAGATTGGAGGACACTGTTGCATAATGTTCGGTCGACGCATCCAAACATGCTCTATCCGCTTTTAGGATTAAAAGTCTCGGCGTTCCGCCTAAATGTAATTCTTAAATTTTTGACCGCCTGCATTCTTCCACACTGGCTCTACTGTTCCCCCGTATTTTCCTGGTCTAAAAGAGGAAAGACTTTATTCTGTTTTCCACATCCACTTAAGCTTTTTCCCGTTGCAGTGTTATTTCAAAGACCGTTTCGGTTGATTTAATTGAGAGCAAGCATTTCGATTCATGCGACAGACTTATCAGTCCTATACTGTCAAATACAGAACACCGCCTGCATGCCCATCTGAATAGATCGCTACCTCATCCGAGTGCGCGTTCCAAATTTAGGACCACCACATACAAGAACAACATCATTCCTCATTTCGTTCTTATCCCAGTCAACCGAGCAAATAGTATCACTGACTGGGAAAATCATCCTTCACATTAGCATTTTATCACATCCACTTGTTTTCGATTTAGGAAATTTATCACATTCTTTTTCCAATGATTAACGCTTTCCTCAATGAAACTTGTCGAAACATTTGAGTGTTGGTCCTGTTTAAGTCAAAAAGCTTAATTTGTCCTGACTTGACTTGAATTAAAATCGCAGTTACCCAAATGACTAAACCAAGACAGGAGAGCATTCGAATGACACTTGATATAGCACAAAAGACGTAGTGACTAACGCGAGCATGTGAATCAATATTGATGTATATGGACAAAGCGTGAAGCGTAATACGTATGCTTATGCAGTGTTATATATGTATGACGCGAAAATCACTCACTGGTTTTCACTAATGCAGTGAATCCATCAGAAATCTGCGAGGCCATATTGTAGCGTAGGAATAGGCTATTCGAAGTGGATGTGAAAACCCTCGGAGCCACTGTTGCACAATATTTGCTCGACGCATCCAAAGATTCTCTTTCCTCAGAAATTTGAACATAGTTTGTGGCGCAACCGCTCCCTTCGTTGATCAGTTTCTGTTAGAAGAAAAATGTGATATGGATGAGCGGAACGGTTTCGAGTGATCATCTCTTCCACGAAATTGAATAGCGGATGTAAAATATGCATTGTCATGACAATTGGATGATATGATATCCGTGACCCACGTAGGTTGGGAAAACATAACTCGCTACCGGGTAAAAGTGTTTGCCTGTTTCATGTTCTTGTGCTTATTGCGTTTGAATGATGTTACGTAGTGAGTGATTGCAGTTTACCAATTTCGCAATGGCCATTTTTGGTTGCAACTTATTCGCCGAATCATTATGATTTCAGCTTAGCTAATGTGAATGAGGCAGAAAATCCCAAAATGAACTCAGTCGGTATTGTGATACAGTCATATCGGATGGAGTGTTTTGTAGAATAGAGCAAATTTCCGTTGGCGATTCTACTCGCAGCCCAAATTACACATACTGCTCATGCTCATTTTTGTTCTCTTCCCGATTGGACATTCTGTTCGATAATGATTGATGCTTTCGATGGAAACCGAATAGTGGCACATACAAATGTTGACATCTGTAAAAGATTTGTGAATCCTTTATTATCCAAACTTGAACATATATCCAATTTTGGACTGCACCATATCCCAACTCTTTGCGCCCTACAGGAGTCCTACAATTTGTATGCTTTCCCTCTTTTTCTATTTCTGTTCAACTGCATCACCGCCCTTTATAATTGTTCATTTTCTATTCTGACCTTGACGCGCTAGTTAAATCGACGTCGTGTCAATCTAGTCGCGAGTATCTATTTTAAATATATATACATACATATATATATATATATATAGATATATATTTGATGCTGTGTTTATTTATAGAACCACGTTCAATATTATTCCTGCTGCTCAAAGCCGTTTTTTCTACCCAGACCGTGAGTTTAGTCTAGATTCACAGGATCGCTGTTTATTGCTAGCTGCCGTCGTTAGACTTAGCTCATTTGTCCTACCTTACGCGTTGTTTTCCTGCAGTTAGCTGTGTATTGTTCGCAGAGTCCTTACGCGCAATTCAAATTTCGTCGTACGTCATATCTGTTATCGTTCGCGTAACAACATCCATGTCGAGGAAGGAGAGTTTCTTAACTTGCAATTGATAATTCACTATGCACTGTAAATCGATGGCGACGCATCGAAAATCAGTTTCATGATCAGAGGCTTTCATTCATCGAAAAGAAATACTTGGGACAAGTTGAGTTTATCGCATTTGCGAGTATTTCTCACTCACCGAGAGATCGGTGAATGCAAGTTCCCACGTCTTGTCCGGTTGCGTTGTCACGGTGATCAGACAAGTTGTCCAGTGTCCAGATGGTGTCATTGCAATAGGCGATATGACTAACGGTTGATCGCCATCGACTTGCATCTGTTTCTCGCAAACTGCATTCACCAAGCGGGGAACAAACGAAATGGCTTATGAATGGATTATCGCTATTTTTGAGGTGCCATGTTATAATGCGTGGAAACATCTTATCAAAAATGGTGTTCAAAATGATCTATCATCAAATAAATTAAACGGATGCACTACCATTTTTCAGCATTTCGTTCATCAACAAAAACCGATAGTCAACAAGTTAATCACGGGAATTAATTTGGCCGCATATGGAGGAAAGGTGAAACGCATTATGCATGTTTTGTTTCAGTTGTGCTTGTAAGAGGCATATTTGACTCACTGTTTCCCACTAGTGCAGCAAATCCATTGGCAGTGGGCTGGGTTATTTCGTAGCGTAAGAACAAGCGATTTGAGGTATACGTGAAAACTTCGGGAATCACTCCTGCGCAATACTTTTTCGAAGACAGCAACGTGTCCTCATC